CTCCTCCTCCCCCGTCCCTCCTCCTCCTCCTCGTCCTCTTCCTCCTCTTCCTCCCTCCTCCCTCCCGTCCTCCTCCTCCTCCTCCTTTCCTCCTCTCCTCCTCCTCCTCTCCTCCTCCCCCTCCTCCTCCTCCTCTCCTCCTCCTCCTCCTCCTCCTCCTCCTCCTCCTCCTCCTCCTCCTCCTCCTCCTCCTCCTCCTCCCCCTCCCCCTCCTCATCCAAATAGGGCAACAGAGCCTGAAAGACATCCACGACGGCCCCAACCGCCCGGGCTGTGCAAATATCGCCCCAAGACACCCTACGCGGCGTCCACAGGCCGAAGGAGGCCCCAACATGCCCCAAGAAGCCTCGAAGCTGCCTCCCAACAGGACCTGAAGAAACACAACACATTGCGTGGTCGGGAACCCACCGTCGTTCGTTCAAAGACGACGGCGTTCCCGAGGTCCCCCATGCCACCCCAGCACTGCCCAAGAGACTGCCCATAAAACCCCATGACGGCCCCAAAATGGCCCACGAGAACGAACACAAACTACGAGTCGTAACGTTCCGCCCCGAGAAGCGCACAAGAGGCCCCAAAAGACTCCCCAGCAAGCCACCACAAGAAATCCGAGATGCAACGCAGAATCTGAAGACTCATCAGAAACCTTCCTGCCGTGCTCGGAAAAGTACCCCTAACACTAACGGATCCAACATTCGTCGCTCAATTGGGGTCGGCGGCAGAGGCGGCAGCCTTTGAATAAGAACATGTTATGCTAGCCAGAGAAGGTTCTTATAACATTGTTTGGTGGACCTATAGGCCAACCAAGACGCTTCGCCACTGCTTGAACTACGGACCAGAAAATAAAAATCCGCCAGCCACGGGTGTGGGGCCACGAGGCTCCGCGGATTGGGCTTGCTGCTCCCTGCTCCAGGTCTAGTTTCAAATATCCCACGTTGCAGTCCTACTTTCTATCTCCTACTGTAGATTGTTGAAGTCCGCGCGAGGGGAGGGAGGGTGGGTGGGGTGTGGGGCGTGGGGTGGGTGGGGTGGGCGGGGGCAAATCGAATCGTCGAATTTACCACGCCCCCCTGGGATTCTCGGAATTTCTAGGGGTGCGGCTGGGACACGTGAGAAACTTGAGATTCGCGCCCCCGAGACCATAAGCCCTCGCAAAATCCAGCAATAGTTGCGTCCCCGAGGCCACGGCCCTTCGTACGCTACGTAATACGGGACGCACAGCGACATGCTAGCTCTACGTGTCCTCCTCGGAGGCGTGCGCCCGATCCGAACGTATAGTACACCCACCTTGTAGCAGCTCGTTTCCCGAGCGGCAGGCTAGAACACTCCCGCCGAGGAGCTCATACTACAAGATTTCTCGGCCCGCGCACGCGTCGCCCCTTTGAGAGCGGCGCTCACATAGTATTAGCGTGTTGGGGTGGCGCCGATAACACTCGCGCCCACCGATGCCACGATCCGCATCCCCGAGGCCACGATCCCACGTAAATTGCGCCATCGTAAATTACAATAGAATCGCGTCCTCGAGGCCATCAACCTTTGCAACTTACTCAACGTTCGCGTCACCGAGGCCACGATCACTAATAAAATATACAATATGTGTGTGCCCGATGTCACGGCCCCCGGCCCGGAGGCCACGATCTCTTTTACATTCACCATTATTGGGTCATGGAAACCATCCTCCTGTTTGTAATATGTACCATATGCGAGCCCTCGAGGCCATCAACCCTAGTATTCAATATTTGTGTCGCCGAAGCCACGACCACTCACGATCCCTGGTAACTTACGCGATAGTTGCGCCATCGCAGCCACAATCGTTCAAAACTTACTCAACGTTCGCGTCTTCGAGGCCATAAGCCCATCTACAGTGCAGAATGTTCGCATCCTCGAGGCCATCAAGGCCAAGACAGCCAAAGGGCCCACAGTATCCCAAGATTTGGAGGCCTGGAAATTGGGACCAACATCAACACAGGAGGTTGCCTCCACAGAGGGAATCTGATCCTAGATTTCGGTGTTGGTGGTGATATTTCGGCCACCTTGGAAGCCAGAATGTTGCCACATCACCGAGACCAGATCTTCTTCCCTCTGTGGAGGCACGCCGCCGATCTTGGTGTTGGTGTCAACCTCTAGGCCTTGCCCATGACACTCCCAAGAGGCCTCAATACAGCCGAAAGCGCTCGAGACGGCGCAGAGAAAGGCCTGCATGACAACCTATGAAGGCGCCAGGCGGGCCAAACGGCCCTGAGCGCCCTGAACTTCCCAGCGCAAGTCAGCCCCAGGACAAGGAACACTTAAAATCGAACGCGGGGCCAAAAAATCGGAGGCCCCAAGGTCTAAAAACTGAATTCCAATGAGACATCGTACATTCGATGATGACCGTAGAGGCCACAAGACGCTACCAAGAATTCCCCAAGAGGCCCTCAGGAAGTTCAGAGGGAGCGCACAGGAGGCCCACAAGAGCCCCCAGGAGGCCCCAAGAGGCGCCCCCATGAGGCCTCCTCCTCGTTTCTACAACGGCCCAAGCGGTCCCCAAGAGGGCCCAGGAGGGCTCCAAGAGGCCCGCCAGGAGAGCCTGAAGCAGCAAAAAAGCTTAGATGTCCTGGAGGTCTTTGCAGGGTTTTGAATTTCACGCCTTTTGAAATTTCCCACCGCCCAAGAACACGATTGTCGCTCCATCCCAACTCAAACTCATCGCTTGCGATCACGGCTGTCAGCGAATTCACAAAGCGAACCGTCCGAATTCGAGAAACGTGATTCAGTGCTGCAACGCAAACCGTAACGTACGATATTAACCTTCGCGTGAAGTTCCGACATTGCTTCACGACGGCGCCCTTGCATCCCAACTTAGCTCTGGCATGCCCCATTCTATAAGAAAGGGGGCAGGCGGCAATGGGCGAAGCCATCACGGATATTGCATTGCTTTGATCCCCTCTCGCTCCATATTCGAGGGCGGGCCCGATAACCCATGCGATCGCCGGAGCAAAAAAAACAGTCTCCTTGGCGCCAAGCGCCAGCTGCATCGGCTGCTGCTGGCGGCGCTCGACCACCTCCTTCCACAGCTCGCGCTCGTGCTTCACCTGGCGGCGATCGAGAATCCTCAGGACGTGTGCGAACGCCAATGTTCTGCAAGCCTCAACCGTTCAACGCGGTTTCTGCGGGTTTGGCACGCGGCGGCCGAGACATCATGGAACGCCTGCTCAAGATGCGGCTGGTCTTCCACCAGCTACCAGCTTGCACTGCGGTGGTTTACGAGGGGGCTGCCTCTGCGACCTCCCTTGGCGCAAACGTGTGCTTGTCCACCGCGGCCCTTCAGGACGACGCAGCCGATGCACAGTCAAAACTGACCTTGAAAGGCGATGCCGACACTTTTCGAGCGGGGCGCGGCCAACGAAAGCGACCAAGGATGGGCCAAGAGAAGGATGCACTGATAGCAAGAAAAGCTCATCCGTGATACCAGCGTTGACTATACATCAGGGCCCCTTCCACAACAAACCTTCCACAAAAAACCCAACCCTGAGGCCCCAGGAGGTCCACTGATTTCTGTTGCGGGAGCGTCGCGCTTTCCATCACCAGAAGCATCGAAACCCAAGAAACCCAGGGCCCCCTGGAGGCACGCAAGGTGTTTCTTGCCATGGGTCTCCACTGTAACGAGAGCCGCGCGGGGGAAACAACACATCAGGGTTACGCGTGTGCAGGCGAGGATCCTCGAGGCGAGAGTGCAGGGGGCGGGGCGAAGGGGGGCGGCCTTCGGCCGGCCCGCGGAAAGGGTCGGCCCCTTCCGAGGAAGGGCCTCCCGGAATGAGGAGGGGAAGGCGGAGGAGGAGGAGGAGGAGGAGGAGGAGGAGGAGGAGGAGGAGGAGGGGGAGGCGGGGGAGGAGGAGGAGGAGGAGGGAGGTGGAGGAGGAGGAGGGAGAGAGAGAGAAGGGGGAGGAGGAGGGGGAGGAGGGGGATGGGAGGGGCGGAGGAGGTGGAGGACGATGAGGGGGAGGAGAAGAAGAGGAGGGGGAGGACAAGGGGGAGGAGGAGGAGGAGGAGGAGGTGGGCCACCCCCGTCCGAGAGGGCTTCTTCAGAGGCAGGAGTGCCCTCTCTCGGGATCAGGGCGCCCCCCTCGCCCTGGACCCCGTTCTGCGCGCCGCCGGCTCACGCGCTCCAGCTGGGACTCGATGTGCTGCTGCGAGATCTGCAGCAGGCGGAGCACGCTGTGGTCGGCCTTCTTGGCGACCATGTCGAGGACGTTGCGGAAGCGCTGCGAGCACCTCTGGCGCCAGGCCTGTGCACGAGGCCCAGGGGCACACAAATGAATGAGCACAGCTCCCAGGATTCCCCAAAAAAGTTTACACATTTCCTGGGTTTTCGTCTTCCCCACCATCTCCTATATGTCTGCGCATCGTCGTGTATGTAAGCCGGCGATCAGTGTGTCTGTGCCTATTTTTCCCTCTTGAGCCTTGTCCACGCGGAAGGACATGTTCTCCGCGCACTCCTCCCACCCGAGCAGCTCCACGTCGGCCTCGCCCCCGTCCGCGCCCTCGGCGTCGTCGAATTTAGGGCCGGGGAAGACCCCGACCACCTGCGCGGACTCTCTTTGGAGGCGGGCTGACGTCCAGCCTCGGCCCCCTCACAGCACGACGGGGGGGCCGGACGAGGGCCCGGCCGAAGAGCGAAGCGAAAGGCGAGGGCACGGATGCACACGAACGGAAAGGACCGACCGAGCGATACGGAAGCGGGGCCGCGAAACTACGCACCTGCGCGAACTTCACCACGCCCTTGGTCAGGGAGGCGGTGCAGTGCTTCAGGTCCTCGAAGGGCTTCTCGTTGACCTTGGTGTCCAGCACATCGTGGACTGCGTCCATCTGCGCCTTCCAGTTCTGCTCGTCCATGTTGCGCTGCTTCTCCATCTTCCGCATCGCATCACTGTTCTTCTGGATATCGACCTCGTGCGAGGCGCTCTTCACCGTCAGACCGTTCACCTCCTCGCGCAGCTTCAGGATGTCTCGCTTGTGCTCGCCTAGGGGAACGCAGATCCTACGGAAAAGCTGCCAAGGCCAATCCTGGGCCCCAGGATTGTCCTGGCCAGGCTCGGTGCAGATGGATAGCTGGCGTCTCCACTCCCTGGGTTCCCGATCAACATACCTGTCACCTACATTATCAACGATCCAACACATGGCCTGGAGAGCGGCTACAGGGACACCAGCACCGCCGCTTCAAAACCTCGTCGAGCTCTCTAGCTGCTGAAGGGGCCAGACCTCCGACGTCGTGATCTGTCGTGGTTTTAGTACGGCACGCACCACACAGACCTCGACCCCACCAATCCACACAGGCGTGGCCTGGGCACCACTGGCCGATGAACCCCCCTAGACGGGGAGATAGGCTGTTCCCTTCGGGCTTCGACCGATCCCCAACTGGGGACGGGGGTGAGGTCGGTTAAACGATACTGAGCAGCGCGTGTTTGGTTTGAACGACACGCTCCACACAGATCTCGACCCCACCCCTGAGACCCACAAATCGCAACGGGTCTCTTTCTGACGGCCCCAGGGCCCGAACACGACCCCCGACACCGAAATTCCAATTCCGAAACGGCAGCAAAGGTTTCTTCGCGGTGCAGGTCCAGATGGCTGGCGACCAACACCCTCGACAGCCTTCGAAGACGCCCGAAGCCAGCCGATTCTGGACTCTTCCCACGATCCCCCAAAAACCCCAAGACAGCTTGCGCATGGCGATTCGATTGGCGGACACAGCGCGCGCCCGATCCGCGAATGAGGGCAACCACGAGAGACCCTTCCGAGGGGATATCAGGGCGAGCAGAAAGTGTTGCACACATTCCGAACTGCTCGACGTTTGACTCCGGGACCGCTGCGGCAAAGAAGGCCCCCACCAGGACGAGGTCTGAGGTCTGTCTCCGTACCCCTCCCACCTCCTGTCCCTTTTTCTCCCCCTGGGTCTCGATCATATGTGCGCATTGCTCGGTTGCGGGCAGCTGCCATCGCTGCATTCAATGTGCCGTTTGGGCACGGCTCTGACTTACTGGCAGCAGCGCGGCTTTGTGAGCATCGTTCAACTAATCCCTATCCGCACAGGCGTGGCCTGGGCACCACTGGCCGACGAACTCCCTGGACGGGGATATAGGCTGTTCCTTTCGGGTTTCGACGGATCTTTCCCCAACTGGGGATGACGATAGGGGTCGGTTAAACGAGACTGCGCAACGCGTCTTTGGGCCTCAAGACGACAAATCAGAGGCGGCAACGTGGCATGGAGGCTCCCCGCTGCAGCGTCTGGGCGAAGACGCGAAGACTCGCGGCGTCCACGCCCGGGGGCTGCTTGCACCAGGGCCGCAGCACGATGCGGGTAAAATACCGAGCATGCTTATGATGGTCATTGATAATTCCCAGGATGGATTGTTGTTCGTCGAATATACGAAGATATGTACATGTTTCACTGGTCTACGAGTATTATCCGTGTGATGCAGATTCCACGTGCTAATCAGTTCTGGGGTGGGGTAGGTGAACTCTGTAGTCAATCCCCAACTCGAATGATCGAGGTGACGAATACAAAAGTCCCATCAGCGCTGCGGGCAGAGGAACTAGTGCAATGACTTTTTCAATTACTCCAACCTCCCTCTCCCCATTCGAGTCGTGGCGGCGCCGCGAGGTGTCCGAGGCCCCGTTCTGGCACAGAATGGATCCAGGATGGCTCCAGGCAGCCCGGAGGTGGTCTCCGAGATGAGTCCAGAGACTGCCAAAGAGGGCTCGAGACACCCTGGAGGCCTCCCAGATGGGGTCCGAGCAGATGGGGTCCGAGCAGATGGTGTCGGAGGATCGCGCCGCATCGCCAATGCATCGCCAACTTCGGTGGTGTATCAGCGACGCTGGCGTGGAGAAATGGGGCTCCGCATCGAGCCGCATCGCCGATGCATCGGCGATGCGGCGGGATCCTCCGACCCAATCTACTCGGATTCCATCTAGGAGACCTAGACACCCTCAGGCGGCCTCCAGAACCTACTCTGGCGGTCACCACCACCCGCGCGTGATGTCCCCAAGGTCCCACGGGACTCCAGCCCCGGGCCGTCCACACCGGGGTGGACCGCGCTGGCAACGCCATGCGCTTCGTCTGCCGCCCCGGGTTTCCACAGCTCTTGCGCCACGGTATATATATATATACACATATTTTTGTACATATATTTATACATGTACCCACACAGATATACATACATATCTGTGTATATACATATGCATACACAGACCACCTCCGACGAACTTTGCATGTACCTTCAAGGAGGGTGGCGGTGTGGAAAGTCGCTAGCTTTCAGCGGCGGCTTATACACCACCACCCTCCCCTGCGGCCCACGAACAAGCAATCACATTGAGGGTGTCTGTGTATCCGCCGACGTGCCTCTGGCACGAGGTGGAGTTCCCCAAGGCTCGCAGCTGTGCTGCTGCTGCTGCAGCCAGGATTGCAATGTCCCAAAAAGGACCCAAAGACCACCGATCCCCTGGGCGCTTCCCGACGCTGTTGGGCGTGCCTGGGGTGCTCCGCATGGGCCTCCGGGACGGCTGCAACGCCCCAAACGACCTGGAGAAGTTCACGGAGCCCCCTATCAAGCGCCCAAGACGGTCAAGGAGCGCATCTGGACGGCCCAATCTGCCCCCAAGACGCTCCAAAAGGCTCGCAAGAGGGACCCAAGATGCAAACATCGTCCCGTTCCCTTAGGATAAGGGCTTTCACGTCAAAGAAGATCCCAAACAAAGGCCCCCAAGATCGCCCCAAGACGGCCCAAGAGGCCCCCAAGAGGGACAAGACCGCCCAAGAGGGCCCCCAGACGGCCCAAGAAGCCCCCAAGACGGCCCCAAAAGGAGGCTCACAGGGGGAACCCGAACGGACATGTCAAGCGTTCGGCCCCAAGACGCCCCCAGGAGACCCCAAGAAGCCCCAAAGAGGCCCCAAGAAGCCCCCGAGAGGCCCCAAGAGGGCCCCAAGAGGCCCCCAAGGGGCCCAACAATTGCTTCCCAAATTGGCACCCGAGAGCGATCCGAACAGACCCCGAGAATTAGGTCAAACGCGGCGTCCCCCTACAGGCGGATTTTGGATGACAAATGTATATATATATATATATATATATATATATATATATCGTTATCTTTGTGTTTAAGTATTGTAAATGTTTAAAACTATGTTTGAATATTCCTCTTGTAGAGAGACAAGCCCGGCTTAACCCAAGAAGCATCACTGAGGACTCTGACCCACAAGCCAGGCACGGTGGCGGGCTGGGCCGAAGGCCCTGCTATATCCGCCGCCCCCTGTCGATTCATCGCAGGGGTGCCTGGCGTGCTGGACGATTTCGGTTTTGGTTTTGGTTCTTTTTCCAAAAGAGAACTCTCCCAATGGGTTTCGGCCCGTCCCGCCGGGGTCCCGGGAGGCCTGCCCACGTGTACAAACTCCACGAAAAATCCTCCCTGAAACAGCCGTTTCGCTCGGGACATCCTTAAACAATCGCGAAGATGGCCCAAGATGGCCTCCAAGTCCGCCCAAGGTGGTCCAAGACGGCCTCCAAGACGGCCCAAGAGAGTCCAAGACGGCCCAAGAGGCCCCCCAGAGGCCTCCCAGACGGCCCAAGAGGCCTCCAAGAGGTCCTCCAGGAAGGCCACAAGAAGGCAAAATCATTGATTTGCCTTAGGTTATTGAAGGATTTTGGAATTTGCTTCTTCTCGGCATTCCGACGGCTCAAGACGGCCCAAGAAGCCCCCAAGAGGGCCCCATGACGGCCCCCCATGACGGCCCAAGTGGCCTCCAAGATGGCCCCAAAACGGCCCAAGAGGCCTCCACCACGCCCGAGATGGCCTCCAAGACGCCCAAGATGGCCTCCAGGCCCCGAAGCGCCCCAAGAGGGTCCCCCGTTGACCCAGAAAAGGCCCCCAAGACGGCTCCCAACGGCGTCAGACGTGCCAGGAACCCACCAAGATGGCCGAAGTTGGCTCGAAGCCGGCCCAAGACGGCCCAAGGGGCCCCCAAGAGGGCCTCCAGGAAGGCCAGAAGAGGCCAAAAACATAAATCCCCCAGAAGTTTTTAACGGATTTTGACATGTCCTTCTTGTCGGCCTTCCGACGGCCCAAGAGCCCCCAAAGATCGCCGAAAGATCGCCCAAGAGGCCTCCAAAACGGCCAAGATGACCTTCAAGATGCCCACGTGTTCCCCGAAGGCTTTCCAAACCGATTCGGGGAACACATGGTCCGATGGCTTGACAGGTCTGGCCTCAACGTTCGGCCACATAGGCGCTTCCACAAAGGCAGGGGGCGGCGGTGGTTCGCCGTAGGCGTCTTCGATACGTAGCACCCCGCAATTGCGGATAAGAGTGAGGGGGAGGGCGCGGGCGACGCGGGCGTCGAGCCGGCGGACCTCGTGGCCCTCACCTTCCTGTCGATGGCGCCCTCCTCCTGATCCTCCTCCTCCTCCTCCTCCTCCTGCTCCTCCTCCTCTTCCTCGTCCGCGTCTTCGTCCTCATCGTCGTCGTCGTCGTCGTCCGCCTCCTCCCTTCTTGGCTTGTTCAGTGAACGTAGTTTGGGTCGCGGGTGGGTCGCGGGCTCTCCATCTCCACCTGGAAAGAATTCAAAATCAGCCCGCCGCAGGCGCCGCAAATTTATAATCTGTACACTGAACGCGGTTTGGGTCGCAGGTTCTCCACCTGGACAGAATGCAAAAGAAGCCCGCCGCAGGCGCCGAAGTTTCGGCTTGTTCAGTGAACGTAGTTTGGGTCGCGGGTGGTTCGCGGGCTCTCCACCTCCACTTGGAAAGAATTCAAAAACAGCCCGTCGCAAGCGCCGAAAAATTGTGGGTGGGTCGCGGGGTGGGTCGCGGGTGGGTGGCAGGTGGGTCGCGGTGGGTCGCGCGTGGGTTGCGGGTGGGTCGCGGGTGGGTCGCGTGGTGGTCGCGGGTGGGTCGCAGGTGGGTCGCGGGTGGGTCGCGGGCGGGTCGCGGGGTCGGGTGGGTCGCGGGCGGGTCGCGGGGTGGGTTGCG